CCTTAGTCAAGACCCCCTTCACCAGCATAAAGGGGAGCCCCTTGAGGGTTCACCTCTAAAAAATTTTTTTGTGGGATGCTCATCCCTCTACTCTCAAAACTTCTTTCAAACCTTCTGTTTATCCATTCCTGGGATGTCCCCACCTCTTCCTTCCATTTACATTATATATACCATCATGGTTAACCTTTCTCAATGACACCATATTAACCCGTAAACGGTCCAAACAGATCTACGTTCACGTGTGTAATATTACAAAAGTAGATCTAGGTTTTTTTTTTTGCATCTTTTCAAATATAACAAAAAAAAAAGTAGATCAAAGTTTTTTCACACATTTTCAAATGTAGAAAAACAAAAAGAAGATCTACTTTTTTTACATACTTTCAAATGTTGAAAAAACATATATTATACGTTTGGACCGTTTATGGGTTAATAAACATACATTTTTTAACTCAACAGCTGTGTCCCACCAAGGTGGGGCGACCCAAAGAAGAAAATACATTCAACATTTTTCATTCATTCATACACTTTTTTTTTTAACACACTGGCCACTTCCACCGAGGTGCGGTGACCCGAAAAGAAAACACCTTCACTATCATTCACTCCATCACTGTCTTTCCAGAGGCATGCAGACTCTACACTTCAGATGCCCCTCCAAACTGCAAATATCCCACCCCTCCAAATTATTTATCAGCATAATGCCTTAAAGAAATTAACATACATCATTTATCTCCTTCAGTTTTAGCATCTTTCTTCTCTATAGTCTTCTGAGCTTGCTGTTTCTTTGACTCATACATGCGAGTGCCTGCAGCTTCTTCAATCATTGCCAGGATCTGCAGGTATACAGAAGGGTATTGAGAGTCTATAACTGATATTCCAGAGCAAATGAAGGAAGGTTAGGTTAGTAAGATTTATCAGGAAACAGGGTAAGTGTTTCCTGATGCGGGTCTAAGTCATATGATGACCTGCATATGAAGCTTTTCATCATCTGACCGAGGCCTTCCACTGGCTTACCCATCCACCCTTTTTAAAATTAAGATAGATCATTATATAAATGCAGGCAGTCACCTAGTAATTTAAAAGAATTATTACTATATAAAATAAATGCAAACTCGGTGATCTTTTTTATTGTAGTTGCTATATTTATGGTTTGATGTGCGAACAATAGTGAACTTGTCAAAAGAATAGGTGCCCAAGAATTATAATCCCAAATCATCATTATTATTATTATTATTATAAACAGAGCATGTTCAGTATTATTATAAACACAGTATGCTTTATTTTACTCAGTCGTTGCAGCTGTATACAACCAAATAAATATAATATTTCTATGCAATGTACATTACACAGAAATGTTTTACCCCTTAATGTTGTTGCAAACAATAAAAACAAAAATTTAACTAATATAAATGTAATGTCACAGAAATGTTAAAAGCAGGGGGGGATATAGTGTTGGAGTGGTTGGTACTTTTCTTTAATAAATGTATGAAAGAGGGGAAGGTACCTAGGGTTTGGCAGAAGAGCATGTATAGTCCTTTATAAAAGGGGAAAAGGGGAAAAAAAGAGATTAAAAATTAAGAGGAAAAAGTTTATGAGTATACCAAAAATGTACTGGGGTTAAATTTGAAGAATTAGAGGAAGACGAATGTAGGATTGCGATGAGCAGGGGGGTTCAGGGGGTAGGGGATGTGTAGATCAAGTGTTTCATTAAGATATATGTAACAGATTAGATAAAGGGGAAGTTTTTATTGCATTTATGGATTTGAAAAGCATATGTAGGGGGATAGGGGGCAATGTGGCGGGTGATAATATAGGGAAAATAGGGGGTAATTACAAAAAGCGTAAAGAGTTTTTATGAGGATAGTGAGGCTCAGTTGGGGGTGTGTAGAAGAGAGGGAGACTACCCCCTTAAAGTAGGTTTTGGCGGGGATGGTAATTACCATGGTTTTTTAATATTTTTAGATGGGGGTGAAAGAGTAAATCGGGGTTTTGGGGGAGGGGTGGGAAAAATTTGGGGAAACAAAACAAAATGGGAATTGCCAGTTACTTTTTGCGATACTGTGCTTAGGGAGATTCAAAAAAAAAATTAAAATTTAGGGTGGTTTTTGGGGGTGTAAAGGAGAAAGTTGAAAGTAAAACATAGAAAAGAGTAAGGTGATGAGGGTTCAAATTAAGATAAAGAAAAGGGTATCAAAAAGGGTATGGAAGAAGTGAATTTTTTCAGATATTTGGGGAGTTGACGTTGGCAGATGGATTTAGGAGGATGGGTTAACATAGAATGAGAAGGAAAAAAAGGCGAGTGGTGCTTGAGGATATGTGGAGAAAAAAAAGTTATCTATGGGGGCAAAAAAAGGGAAATGAAATGAAATAAAATATACCCACTTTATAGGGTTAAAGCTTGGGTTGTGAATGAGCGAAAGCGGCGGTGGGGGCATGGGATTTTCCTGTCTAAGGGCAATGGTGGTGTAAATATTATGTAGAAAATTTGGAGTGTGGAAAAATTGGAGAAGGTGTGGGTTTAATAAAAGTTTAGCAGAGGGCTGAAAGGGGTTTTGGGGGTTTTGGTCATTTAGAAAAAAGGATCAAATTTGAATGAAGGGAGAGCATTTAAATCTGTAGGAAAGGAAGGCGAGTAGGGGTCTTTCCCGAAAGGTTGGAAAAAAGGGGTTAAGGGGGGTTTTGTGGGGAGGGCGGTTTCCCCAGCAGGCGTGCTGAGCTTTCAATGGGAGAAAAGGGGAGATGAGGGTATTTGGGACCTAAGATCTGTTGGAGTGTGGCAGGGTAATATTTAGTAAAGGGATTCGGAAACCAGTTTTTTTTATATCCCGGCTTGATCCGGGAAAGGGGAAACAAGCCTGCACCTAAAGGAGGGGTTTTGGGATATTAGCAGTTGGGGGGATTTTTTGTGTTCTTTATATATATGCTTCAAACGTTGTGTTTGAGAAACTTGCAAAACAGTGATTATGTGTGGTGGGGAAAAGGGTTTTGAATGTGATGAAAAATATTTTTTTTTTGGGGGATTTTCTTTTTTTTTGAGTCACCCTCCCTCGGTGGGTCACCCGCCTCGGTGGAGACGGCCCTTTTTAAAAAAAAAAAAAATCAATGTAAACCTTAGTAACCAAAAAAAATGGGACAAAAAAAAACGGGGTACAATAAAAAAAAAACATACACTGCCCATTCAGGTGTACAGGGAGCAATACATTAGAGTCGCTTTAAAGAGATTTTATTTTTGAAAAAACGAGAAAACGAAATTTTGGGTTTTAAAAGTTAGCAAAGCTATGCATCGGGTATTTAATTTTTTCCATGTGAAAAAAGGGGAAAAAAAAAAAAAAGGGGGAAAGGAAAGGAAAAAAAAAAAATTCAGTGAAATGAAAGTTATATTGAAAAATTTGAATTCTTTATTTTTTTTCTCCAGTTTTAGATAATGCGTTTACATTAATAATAGTTTATTAGAAAGCACTAGCATGCGAGTTTTCTGCAATGGTGCTATCCCGTGGCCAATGAAAAATAAAATAAATGGGGGAAATAATCCCTTCATCCTCATTCACTGCTCTTTTTTAATATTCACACAGACTTTAAAAAAAGCTCGTAATATAAAAGACTGCAAGAGCAAAGAAGCTTTTTTGTAAGAATTTCACACAGCGAGCAGCCTGTACGACACTTAGGGTTTGCGCTTTTTGGTATCACAAAGTGGTAGTTTTCCCCCCCCGCAGCCTCTGAAAAAATTTTTATATTTTGTTAACATGGGTATCCCTTCCCCCAACATACTAAAAAAGATTCAACTGGGCGGCCCCTATACAAACAAGGAAAAATGGGGCCCCCAGCAAAAGCGATTTGAGATCCTAATTAAACCCCCAAGAAAAATTTCGGAGGCCCCCAGAAAAGCAAACTGGGGGCAACCTAATCCCTATTACGCCCCCCCCCCAAGTACACATTTACTATTTTAGCCATCTCTTTTGTATCAAATTTTTTTTTAAACATGGCCATCTCCCCCTTTGACAAGGTGGCCAAAAAGAGAAGAAATGCTTTCTTCTTTTTACATTTGTAACGTATACAGGAGAAGGGGGTTTCTAGCCCCTTGTCCCACATTTTAATCCTCTTACGAAGAATATATCAACTTAAGCCTGTAAAAATATTTTTTAAACAAAATTTTTTCAGTTAGAAATAAGCCAATACTTCCCGGGGGTTTCATGTTGAGGACTTTTGTTATCGCCCTGCAGATGAGGAAGGGGGATTGTTGACATTAGCTGCACTGAGCAAGAATCTTTCACCTGCTATTTTGCACTGTGGTACCCTTATATGTACTTATTACCCCACCCTTAAACCGAAGAGAGAAAAAAAATAAAACCAGCAGAATTTTATGATTAAAATTAAATACATTTTATAGGAATAAAAAAAATAATTAACAAGACAAAAAAGTACATCAGCAATAAAATACACTTTGGTTATAGGTTTTTAAAAGCATTACAAAATAAATACACTACTAGAGCACAACCCCCAGAAAGACCCAAAATTTTGACCAGAATTGGCTAAACAGTTTTATAATGAAGCACTAAACTTTAAAAAAAACTAACCCTTAAAAAAAGACTCTTAGAAGTTGTATTTTGAAAGGAATATCTGGGAACAAATAAAAATCCTAAAGAATCATAGTAAACATAAAAATGAAAGTAAAAAAAACAAAACAGTGGACCCCCCCTTAACGATACCCCCAAATGCGACCAATATTAAAAGTTTTATGTAAGTGCGTTTTTTCGTGTATGTTTGGGGGGCTGAAATGGACTAATCTACTTCACAATATTCCTTTGGGAAAAAATTCGGTCAGTACGGCACCCGAACATATACTGGGAAAGAAAAAAATTTTGTTAACCGGGGGTCCACGGGCAGCCCTCCTCGCTTAAAGACGAAGTTCCGTGCTAAACCCTTGTAAAAAGAATTCACGCTAAAGGGGGACAAGCTATAATGGAGTGGTTGTTCAGCCCTCTTGATTTGTTTTAATGTTACCTTTGCACCATTTTAAAAATTTGGGTTATTTTTTTAAAGTTTGTACGTAGTTCAGATCGTAGTAACGAATTGAAAAAAACTAATAGAGGAAATCAGCTCTAATATACATTTTTTAGGTATGAATATGGTGGAGAGACCCCTTGTATGCGAGGTTTGGTAAAAGAGTACATCATTAATGAGGAAGGCTTATTGTAAATCCTGAATTTAATAAACTAAAAAGAGGAAAATGGGGGGCAGTAATGGGGATAATAGTGAAAAAGAGACGCGGGTGGGTTTTCCCTGATCAAACAAAAAAATGTCCCAAATTTTAAACCCAAAGGCTTTATCCGTTGTTTCCGAAAAAGATTAATGGATTCTTCCAAAATATTGCCTGGATCCATTAATCAAGGATTTACTGTCAAAGATAAGTAGTAAACAAGACACTTTTATAAAATTTTAAAAAATTAAAAATATAAAATACAAAACCTTTAAGCCCGCAATCGTAGAATGATACCTCTCTGGTTGGTGCCCTATCTTACGATGGGGTCACATTCCAACAACCCCCATAAATTGAAAATATCCTAAGTCAAAATGAAAACGTGGCCCCCCTTAAGTATTTTTTCCTCCGAAGTATGTTCAGGGGCCAGTCTGACGAATTTTTTTCCCTAAGAAATATTGTGAAATAGATTAGTCCATTTGACCCCCCAAAAAAACACGTACAAACGCATTACATAAATACACTTAATAATTTGGCGCATTGGAGGTAATCGTTATGGGGGGTCCCCTGATATGTAAAAGTAAAAAAAAATATGCATGAATAAATACATAAAAAAAATTACTGTAACTAACTAAAACCAGTATTGTAAAAAAAAATGAATACAAGTTTTTTTTATCAATAAATGCACAGCAGACTGAATATGCATCGTTGCGCCCCAAAAAAAATTCAATAGTGTTAAGTGGGGCCACAAAACAAAGACACTGACAAGTTCTTAATTACTTTTTTATTGCCACAGACATTTTCCCAAAACAAATTCCCCTTTAAAAACTACATATTACGTACATGGAAAAAACCTTCCCAGACCAAAAAAAAATATTAGAATGAAGGTTAAAAGCACTAGATGGCTATCTCTGAGAGAAAACAGATATAGAAAACCACTTTAACATATGAGGAAACTGACAAGGACAAAAACTACCCATCAAATGGCAAAAAAAGAGGCCATATTAAAAACTAAGGAAGAAACTTTTAAAAAATACGGGGAAGCTTTTCTTGAAAGGGTAAACCCAAATAAATGATTTACGGAGAAAGTAGAATTGGGTAAAGCCAATTAACCCTTAAACGTCCAAACAATTTATGTTCACATGCGTATGCCCAAAAGAGATCTAATTTTTTTAAAATTTTTTCAAATGTAACAAAAAAAACGCAGAACAAAGTTTTTTACCGTTTTCAAAGGGAAAAAAACAAAAAAGATCTACATTTTTTACGAAATTTTTCAAATGTTGAAAAAAGTAGACTACTTTGGGACAGTTTAACCCATAAACTGTCCAAACAGACCCTAACTTCACATGGTGTGCTACAAAAGTAGATCTACTTTTTTTTTTTTTTTAAATCAGTGGTCCCTCGCTTTTCATAGTTCTGGGGAAATTGTAAATTTCGCCAACATAGGGGTATTTTCGAAAAAACATGGACCCTTTTCATAGGTTGACTCCGAGTCAAGTTCGCCGGGGGCGGTCCCACGGAAAGCCGGGGCGGCAGCCGTCTCTTTGTTTCCCAGTGCCAAGGCCCTCACATGCTCCAGCAAATATTTCAAAAATTTTTCCATTTATTTTAGTGCTTGTAAGACTAAATAAGCAACCATGGCTCCAAAAAAGCTCCTATTCCCCAACCCTTTGGGGTAAAGAAGGTGAAAAACAAAAAATTTAAAAAAAACATATTGAAATTTAAAAGTGGTAAAGTGTGGCCGAACTGGCCAGGATTATAAAAAAACCCTACCAACCATATGTTCCATAGTGGCCAAGAAAAAGGAAATCAAGGATGCTTTGTTACAAAGGGAGTAACTATGCGACAAAAATGAGATAAACCCAAAAACCGAAGAGGTTTGAGAAGTTTTATTATTGGTTGGAAAAGGAAAAAATTTAAAAGGGAACTCTTATTTTTTTTTGGGAAGGCTGGCAGGTTCAGATATTTTAAAAAATCCCAACTATTAATAGGTTTTAAGGGGCCCAGAAACGTTTAAAAGTTTAAGAACCACCAACCATTGGGTTAACCCAAAGGGTAAGGCTGCCATTTCGGACCCAAGGGCGAAAAATTGTGCATGAATTCCAGGAGTACATAGAGGTAAGGACGAAACCTGAACAAGTGTTCAATTGTGAGAAACAGGCCCTTTTGGAAAAAAAAGCCAAAGGGGACCTTCATTACACAAAGGGGAAAAAGGGGCAATGCCAGGACACAAGCCTATGAAAGACAGGGTGACGTAAGTTTTTGCAATGCTAGTGGGGATTTCAAAGTGAAGCCATTTCTAGTGT